TCTTTGGCGAAGATATCCCCCTATCCACAACCCGGGGATGCGCCTGGCAGCATTCAGCTCTGCTTAACACGAGGGTATCCAGGTATCCACTCTTTACGTAACCCAAGAACGCTCCAAGATGGATTGCTATGGTCATATGTGGACTGGAGTCTCCTCCTCTTAGACCATTTTGAGCTGTTTTCAGTTTAAAGTAAATCTCTTCATAACTTTCCCGACGTGAGAATCCACTCGTCGCTTTTTTGATCACTTTCATATGGAATTCGCTCTGTGGAGTTTGCCAATTCGGTCCATCCTCCACTTTCATTTACTCGTGAAACCTGGTCATAAGCCTTCAGTGACCTTTATCAGGTAACTGTCCAGAGAACCCATAGAACGGAGGCATTCAAATCTTCCTTTTTATTTATCGCAGAATTACAAAATGCCCCCATTTTTTCGTTTTTTCACTTCATTTTATTGAATGTACAGCGATTCCGTTTTCGGGAAGGGTGAAGCGACCAATGTCAAAGGGCTGCCATACAGCACATACAGAATGGGGAACGTCAAGCAACCGTGGTGGTTTTATTTTCAGTTTTTACAACTACTATCCATGCACTTTTGTGCGCCGGTTTTGGTTGTTTTTTTGGGGGGCTTCATTTGGATAAAAGAGAAGATAACTGAAATGTTGAACTCAAATTCAAGCGCAAGATGGAAATTCATATAAACGGATGTTAAGAGAATAATGAGCAGATGCACGAGCGCCACTGTTTCCGACACCCAGCCATATCACTCAGTGTCTCTAACCATCGGTGAACATCATCTCGGGGTCCCCAGCCAGGGAGCCTAACGGGACCTATGTGACCTAGTCTACTGATTAGGGTTTTCATAACCTCATGCAAGGTCTTCATTTGACCACCCTTGATCTTTTTCCAACCGCTACCTGTTTCGGCGAACCTCGCGCGGCGTGGCAACCTATTTAGTGACATGCGCCACGCATGCCCCAACCAACGAAATCTATGACAGTCGATCACTTGCTCCAGTGGACAGACGTGCCTGACTTGAACTCCAAGCCTAATCTCAGCATTGCTCGTCCGGTTACGTAGACAGCGGTGTTCGAACACCAACAATCTATTTTTATCCTGTTTCTGTAGTGGCCGATTCGCTGCACCGTAAAGCAACAGTGGCCGAACTGCTGTAGCATATACTCGACCCTGCACAGACAGCCGGATGTCGTGACGGCGCCACAGATGTCTCAAGTTGGTAAATGCCCACCGAGTCTCTTGTATGCGCACCGACACTTCATCTGTGATGCTTCCGCCAGGGGCCGCTGCCCAGACGTCAAAACTTGTCCACTTCCTCAGTCAGCGCGAGACTGGGTACCGAACCAACCCGATCTTGCAGCAACGTTTTAGACTTAGAAGGTGCAAAACGCTTGCGAACATGGCTACACTAGCACTCAAACTATCTAGAAAAGCTTGCAACTTATCTGGATCTTCACTTAGAACAATTTCCTCTGCGTACTCTCCTTCAGACAATCTGCCACCCGGGAGAATGGCGCTATCCTCGTTGGAGGATAAGGCTGTTTCAATAATTAAATCTATCACGAAGTTGAATAGAAAGGGAGAGAGAAGGCAACCTTGTCGAACACCACTTTCTGTAGTGAATTCGGGTGAAAAGGTATCATAAGCTCGGACTCGGCTTTGGCCATTAGTATAAAGTGATTTTAATACTGAAATAAATTTCTGGAGCAAATCCTTTAGGAGGAGGCAGCGCCAGAGTTTCGAGCGGTAGACTGGTTCGAAAGCCGCTTTCAGATCACGGAAGATAAAAATGGTGGGTCTGCGAAAAGTGTCTGTGTTCTAGAATTTGACGAAGATTGAATATTTGGTCGATATAATCTCGACCAGGTCTGAAACTAACCTGGTTCTCAAGCGTACACCGTTCACTTGCGGCAGACAATGTTGATTAAACTGATTCGTCTTTGGTTTTCATAACAGGGTCTGTCGTCTCTCTTGGAAATCGGTGTGATCACCCATTCACACCATTCAGTTGGAACCTGTTCCATCTCCCAGGAGTTTTGTTAACTCCGAAACTAAGGCTGGGCCTCCAAGCTTAAAAACCGATGGGGACAACCCGTCAGGGCCCTTTCACGTGAATGGCTGATGTCAACTGGCAGTATTCGTGCAGTTGAAGCAAGTAGGGGGAGGTTTTGTGTCGACAGGGATCATCTAAACTATGCCGGAAAATTTTCAGCCCAACTTTTAAAACAGCGTCCCTGAATTTGAATCAGTATGCCGTCATTCTCCTTAATCACTTCACTTGCACCTACTTTCCTTGGTCCTGTACTCCTAATTAAAGAAAAAAGTTTGCAGCTATTACCGATAGCCGCAGCCTTCTTCTCTCTCCACTTCCTTAATCACCACTTCTCGCGGTCATTCCTCAAAATGTTGATGAACTGGTGTTTAATGGGTATACACCCTTTATCTTATTTTGAATCCGAAAGAATGACTTTGAAAGCGTCCAGCAGGGCAACCGAGGTCGGGGAGAGTCATCGTTTTTTATTTGGCCGTGATCCAGAATTTGCCGTTGTTTTGATTGACGTTTGGACGGCCTCCTTGATTGTCGTCCACCGTTCACTGAGTCCTCCGGCTGATTGTTGTGCTGGCAGAAGATCTGATAGGTTCGCTTCGAAGGCCGATTTGGAATCGTCGCTGAAACTGTATTGTGGGCATCCGTTCCATCGTCGCGGTGGGGTTAGAACACACAACGTTCAGGGTGATAATTTAGTGACCTTACCGAATAATCTTTGCTACATTGAAGCACAAAACCAAGCAGTTGTTCTCTGGATGGATATTCCGTCATTCCCACCGTACACTATTTGTTCTCATTATTGCACATGTCATTGTACATTAAATAAACACTCTGATCGTATCTGGCATATTCCAGTCATACAGATTCACAAATTACTTTAAACACCGCTCACCACGTTTGTGGGTATTTTATGAAACGCGGAAATAATCGACACTTTTGAGTTCGTTTGTGTTGAACAGCACTTATGAATCGGTAAAAATGTAAAGCATTAACCTCTACTTCTTCTGTTCGTTGCACACATCAATACCTGTTTTGCACTGAGTCATACGGTTTATGTTCAGCTAGCAACTAAACTGAAGTATATAATTCCTGAAGGTTCCATTCAGTGTTTGATCTGTTCATATTTATCAAATTATTCATTCGAATCTTCTCAGACATCTCTCTCGGAAGGGTATCACGGGTAGCATGCTGAAGTGAACTGGCATTCATAAAGCATGACTGCTGACCGACCGGTCATAAAATCATGCCCCATATAGCCTGAGTCATTCAAATACCAGCCGCAATTGGATGCCCCAACAATATTCTACCACATCCTGCCCATATTCACTTGTACCATCGCCCACCATCACCAGCAACATCATTTGAAGCCGATCATCCCGGCTGGCTAAAAGATGATCAATCTGCCAGATTGGTATGACACTGTTTGTTTGTGTGTGTGTGTGACTGAGCGAATGAGAGAGACAAAACATTGCCTGTGATTCGGTGCATCACTAGGCCACAAAAAGGCGAGGGATTCTACTATGGTTCATATATGTATCTCGCACAGACAACGTAGGAAGTTCATGTTAATCAAAGTATCCTATTGGATCACATATCGATCAAATATATAAAATATGGATGATCAGCATAGACCTCTCGCTTTTATAGGTAGGGTGAAGATATTACGTGTTAATCAGTTACCCAAGGGCGGTTTTAGAGAACCATTCGATGATAAAAATGATTGAATATCGAAATCCGTTACGAATTTTATGACACTAGTTTGATCAAGAACGATTTACGTTGTCTCTCTATCCCGAATTCGTTAGATGAGAGTGTAATGCTAATCTTGATAAATGTTTCACTCTAGTCTTATAAAATTAGACCACTCACAGAATGAACGAACACATCACTTGGTGGTAGAAAGCTTTGCTGTCGCCCGGTTCTATACCACACCTGACCCACCGGGACATTATATGGTTCGCCACTCCAAGTGCCGGGGATCAGGCTCCCGGTTACCATCACCGAACAGCAGGTCTTCGTTACTATGGGTACCGTCCCGTCTACTGTTCATCACACACTGGTGTGGATTTTTAAAAAAATCAAATGTAAAATCTGGATGCCCAATTCGTATAAAGTCAGTCCTATATGATCGGTAACAATCTGAGCAAGGGAACGGTATCCGCTTAGAAAAATTTTTGCGTTTCGTAAAATCGAAAATGATACGAATAGTCATCAACATGTTGTATTTGGAAGCGGCTAAAGTGAAATTTTCTTCGCGATGCTAAGACCCAAGTATGTACCAAGAGAACAGGAATCTTCAAGGTGGACAAAGGGAATAAGATTGTTTGAGAATGAGGGCGGATATTTTGCCAGATGTGGATGACTACTCTATTATGCAAAGTTTTTATATGGCAGGCTTTTGAGTTTGCCGAATTCTCCAACATTGGCGTTTGAGTTTCATCAACTCAATCAGTACGTGTGTCTGATGTTTCTCTAACAGTTACGAAGTACCCGTGCAGTAAAGGTTCTGGAAACTCAATGATATTTTCTGAGCGTGTACATCAGCACAGTCAGACAACAGCTAACTACTACTTGAAGGCTGACCACCTATCTATAGTTGTACGACATGTGCAAATCACATGACAGGATACTTTGAATCTCGATAGTGCACGACCCAAGCTCAGAATCCAACTCTTTGTATGTGCGGTAGAATCTTATTCTCGATTTATGCTGAACCAATTTTGATCCATGGGGTTCTGTATCTTTTCTTCATGTTTCTTGGAGGACATTTCCGTAAGGGAAACCGACCTCAGAGATTTATTTGTTCAAAAAGGTGTTCCATTAAGCATCTTAATTAAAAGTCGTCGAAAACGTTTCATTTAGGGCCGCAAATCTCACCCTCCCTCCGGAAACTCTCACTGATTCGGAAACGTCGTAAACATCATTATTTGACCCCAAACGATCTGGTGAGTAGATGATCAACTGTATTAGTGGAATGATTCTGCTTTGAATAATAAAAACATACGGACATGAAGTTCATTTAGGACAAACGTCGCATGCTTTAAACACGATCAAGTCTAATTAGTCTATCAGTTTTCACTTTGAAGGTGTACAAACACACGGATGATTACACGGAAGGTTCGATTTTAAAATCTGCTCCAAACACCGGCCTTGTAGGATCAGCAACTGACGGCTTTTCTTTTCAACACTCTATTTGATGATAATACAATTCGGACCGAGGGCGAACCATTCTGATTGTTCCAATTGTTCTTCGTGCCGAGATTGAACAGTTAAATAGCCTCTTTGGGATTCGAACCCATACACGAACCACGCCTATGCTTTTGTACAGCGCATGCTGCACCAGCTGAGCTACAAGGCCACACGGATAGCACACTGATCTTTTCACGTTCGAATTACCCATCCAAATTGCAGAGGCATATGACATCCATTATTTAGCATATAAGCTGACTGCCCCGACTTATTTTCCTTAGAATTCACCGGGGTCTACTGAATGAAGTTCTAAGGCGAGATTACTTGTTCAAGTTGTTCTCTGGCAGTTTGAAGTTGGATGGGTAATCCGAGGATAAAAAGACCAGTACTATAGGTGTGGCCTCGTAGCTCAGCTGGTAGAGAGTGCGCTGTACAAAAGCCTAGGCGGCGTCCATGGGTGGGTTCGAATCCCAACGAGGCTACTGAACTTTTCACAATCTCGACATTCTGATTGTGTTCACAGGTAGCACTTGAACTTTCCCACCGTGTAATTAGTCAATGTGCGTTCTTAAGTGTTACTGTACAAATCGTTGCGGTGCTGCACTCAGCCGCGGACATACAAGTATAACGAAACGGACAACGGCACGGCTGCCCAACTGGAGTGATCCGAGAATCAGTGGTCTGGTGCGGTGTAAACTCAGAGAGAAACTCAGTGAGAAACGGTGTTCAATCCAAATCAGCGGTGAGAGTGCGTAACCACTGCTTTGTAAATTCCGATAATCATATAACAGCAAACAATTAAATAACATTTCGCAAGGTAAAATGACACAACATATCGACTTCTTCTGTATTCTTGTGACTGATTGGCACGCCAAATGTGATAGAACTACATGCAATTTACAGTCCCAACTTGATTTATATATACACAGTGATTCTTGCCACCGAATCCGATATCGGTCTTCTGATTCCACAGATTTGTGATTTAGATCGAAATGATGAAGACAATATTATGAGTTATTGAAAATACTACCTCGAGTGGAATTTTGTTCAAATTCCTAGTAGTGCGTTTGAAATTCGTACATTTTCTTCGCTGTTATCTCAATACACCATGACAACTGCCTGGAGCCGGTGACCAAGTAGAATTGATAATCAGTTCAAATTTAGTCCATGGAATTGTTAGGGGGTAGATAATAACCGATGTTTTCAGTTCCTTTTGGTTTATTGAATTTACATATGTACAAACAACGTTTGGGAAGATGGCCACCAGCACGAAGGATACCAGGAGAAATGCATGAGGTAGATGGGCGTCGATGACGGGTTCGAATTCACACCCTTGAGTCTGCTGTTTCGAAAATACTTTCACCACCCGACCACCTCCACCGTTCGGCTGTGTTAATAACTGTTCATGAATCAGGCATACTCGAAAAAGAAGTGAAATTCTGCACCAAAGACACGTGGCTATTTGTGCCGGTTTAGATTGGGAAATGCATCATTTAATATGCACCATATTGACAACTAACTTACGCATTCATCACTCGTTAGACAGAAATGCATCACAGTGGATCATTTTGTCGAATGTGATGTTGCAATTTAACAAACCGCATTCTGGATAACCGACTAAAAACCCTGAGAAGTCATTGTTCCATAAAATAAGTGTTCCGTGATTTGCGTTACTCACATCATTTCGTACCTCTCGCGTCATTATTTTCATCTTTACTTGAACACAGGATATTTTGTAGTTCTTTCGATGAAATTTGAAATTTCTGCCTCATAGTACCATCCTTTTTTAACGTTTACACATTTACGTTAAGCACATATTCAGTTAACTTATGCCGGACTGTATGGTCTTCAATACCTCGTTCTCGAACCTTGTTTTAACCTCAAACAGACAATACTATCTGCCGAAAAAGAATTTTCATAATCAGTTTTTATTGTTGTGGATGGGCTCATTCGTGCAGCAATGTTGGGACAGATCTGCACACACTGCAGTCAATAGACTACGTTTTCGACCCGCTTTCAGTGTAAGCGATGCAGACTGAGAGCGATAGTAGCTAGATAAGATAAAAAGAAACTTTCTGCTGAATCACTTCTCGCCTTTTTTTCGATAGCTGTGAGTACAGTTTGTTCCCAATCCCCTCTTGCAGCCGTACATCACAGCTGAACAGCTTCGACATGAATTGCCACCGGAACAGGCTGAGTATTGTATCAGTCGGATGAAACCGTACAAGGGCCCTGGAGTGACGAGCGGTGACGCGCTGGATTACACGACATTCGCCACGGCGTTGTATGGTGAATCGGAACTATAGCCGTGCCAATCGGGACGGAAACGAACATGATCATAATCCGAAGCGAACGACCGGTTTGGAGAACTTCTTCCTTGCCACACTGAACAACGACAAAAATATTTCGTATTCACAAGTATGAGCACACATTCATCCTGTTTCGGTAGAATCAATCCCATTTAGCCAGTCGTAATTCAAGTTACCTTGCAAACAAACACAAATAAGAGAACTGTCTGTCGTAGAACAATTCGGAAATTGTGCCCATTTTCGAAACCCATGTCAGCCTGACGAACCCGCAAATTGTCCCTCCAGAAAACAATGGACACTCCCATGCACGCTCCGTCTCACACCCCAGTTCGCTTCGCCCACCTTTCTTGATTCAAAACACGGAACTTGTTCATTACTTGCTCTCGTCGCTTCTCATTCATCCACCGCATTTCAAACAAATCAGTCGCTTGTCCTCCGGTTCTAAACTTTATGCATATCACCAACATTGTTCATCGTCCCACCAGTTGGTCTGTGCAGTGGATCACTTTTCCTCTATCATCGATTTAGCCCGGAGGTCAAGCTCANAGCTCAACCGTCTTCTAATGATGGTCTGTGTGTGTATGCTTACTACCTTCTTTCGCCTCGATCGCGACGAGGTCTTTGTGTCAGATCGTGCCTGGATGTCATTGTTCATGTACCTTTAGGTGTCTAGTTGCTCATGTGCATGGTTGTGAATTTTGTTTGATCCGCCTCCTTTGAGCACGATGAGCCCAGTCTGGTTGTCCAAAAGACNTTCGGTCAGTGGAGATAATTTTGCCCCTGCTATGTGCGCACGAATGTGGCCTCACATCTAACATGCGGAATTTGCTGCGTACCGATTCGAGGTGCACTTCCGAGATTCGTGAATGTGAAACGACTTAGGAAATAAACTGCCCCTTCTCTTTCAATCGTTCCAGTTCTGTTCTCCGAAAACCTCATCTCATCGATTACGAAATCCTGAGTTCCGCGAATACTTTAACGGATATGTGCATATGCTATACATGTTATCTAAGAAATGAGACCAGGAATCCGTTTTAAGCTATTGTCAGATGGCGACATATATGGACGTATACCAACAAGGGATAGAAGCTTCTGGGGGGTCCCATTACAGGATGTATTATTCTAACTCTCATATAAGACGAGTATATATATATATTCAACTCACATGCCTCGACCCTTTTTAGATGAGTTTAAGTGCAGATCAGTCGACAATCTGAAATTTGATCTTCGCGAGGAGACTCATTGCTAGCAGTTCAATTCTCATTGGAGAATCGGATTAAACTACACCTGAGGATTCGTTTCTTGTTCAAATAAAGGTCACGTATGAAACTTACCTACGAAAACCTCAGTATGGTCGCAGAGGTGGGTGCCTAGGGA